CATAAACAGGAAAGTTTGCTTTCCTGCTTCCCTCAGTTTGTACACATACAAGGAAAAAAAACCCAGCAAATCTCCTCCGACCACAAAGATACAGACACTGCATTGCCTCACGAAACCGCCAAAGGAATGAGGGCAGAAAGTCTTGTTGATTTAAAAGTGCCAGACTAAGTGGCTATTAGTAAGATGCAGGAAAAAACTTAAGGAAAAAGCCTGAAATACCACCGCAAATTAGAGAACGGTCATAAACCCACTGCTCTATCACTGAGATGCCAAATCCTGCCTGGGATACAGACAGAAGCCAGTAACTGGTCACACTGAGGAGCAAAAATCTTCAGTCCCTGGCATGTTTTCTGTGATATAGGTGTCGTTTCAGAGCCGGTGGCAAGTGTCTCATGGCTGGAGGAGGCTGACGGGAGACCTCATTGCTCTCTACAACCACTTGGAAGGAGGTTGCAGCGAGGTGGGGGTTGGTCTCTTCTTCCAAGTCACCAGCGATAGGGCAAGAGAAAACAGCCTCGAGTTGCACCAGGGGAAGTTTATATTGGATGTTATGGAAAGTTTCTATTACTGAAAGAGGAGTGAGGTATTGGAACAGGCTGTTGAAGGACATGGCGGAGTCACCATCCCTGGAGGTGTTAAAAAAATGTGCAGACGTGGCACTTCGGGACACGGTTTAGTAGTCATGCTGGTGTTGGACTGATGGCTAGACTTGATGATCTTAAGAGGTCTTTTCCAACCTTAATGATTCTATGGTTTTTAAGCATCTAGGAAGAAGATACACCTCAACATAAAGCCATTCATGGTGCCCCCCACTTCTGTCGTGGCTGCCAAGCCACAGGCACCTGTCACAGCCATCATTTCTAAGGGCACAGTCCCATTTCACGGGGTCTCCAGGCAAAAGTCACCTCCTCCTTGCACTGCTTTTGGCTTCCAGCTTCAATTTTAGTGAGGGCACAGGGTTCTTCTGCAATTCTGCCCTCAATTAACCCTGACACTGTCCATTAAACCACCCTAAAATTCTCCTTCCTCCTCAACAGCTGCATCACACATTCTCATTTAAGTTACTGGTCTTGAGAATAATTTCATAATCAAGCTCTGCCAGCTCAAAAGCATCTGCTAGCTTTGGAGCGTTGTGCAATATTTTTGCTGGGTTTCATGCTCACTGCGGTATCACGCGTGCCATAAAGGATGGATTATTTCACCAGCTTCTTGACTAATGCTGCCAAAGTCCAAATTTTTCTAGGGAAGTTTTATAGGTTATGAACGTTCATATCCGAACTGCCTGCAGCTGCAACGCTCCTTTCTAGCATTGCTCAAAGCATTTGGAAGGACAGTTATGTCACATTCACGTCTGCCACACTTTGACTCGTCTTGCTTCCCAGTTTCTACACTTTAGCAAACTCCTGCGGGTCACTACGGACACAAGAAACACAGCTGCTCTCTTTTACAGACTGTAAAAATAAGCACATTTTAGGATGAGAAGAACAACTATAAGATTTCTGTTCCTCATTGGCTGCAACATGTTTTTCCACCGAGAAGAATTTAATCAGGGAAATGGTTCATCCTTACAGGTGCCCGGATTTTACCACCTTCTTTAATTTCCTGTTGCGCTCAGAAAAGCCAAATTAATTCTAGTAATGTCTTTGGCCCAATGTTCACACCTTACAGAAAAACAGCATGCAGGCGGCTGCAAAATCTTAACAGTTTTAGGAACACCAGCTGACAGCCTAAACTCATACTTCAAGCCCAGCTCTGTTGCTAACCACAGAGGCATTCTTCAACCTTCAGATCCTGCCTTAACACGTCACAGAAAAACAGAAGAAAACGAATTTTCTGCATCTTTGATGTCACCTTCAAGTAATTTATTCAAAAGGGAGAACTTCAGAAAGTCTTAGGGATGTTTTTCATGCCATATCTAGATTTTTAAAGGGTTATTTGACCTCTTTAGCCAAGAAATACATTCCAACTTCAATAAATTACCACCTCTGTGATTTTAAAAAGCCTGTTATGAAACTGGATGATCACAAGGCATTTCAGCGCAAAAACGAAACCTCAAACACTGAACTTGAACGGATATTTGAAAACATGACGTCAAAGTTCAGTCTGAAAGTCAACTTCTCAGCTGACTGCGCTTCCATTTTAACTTTTTTCAAACACTTAAAATTTTGTGTTTCTAACTCTCTGTCCTGTGAACTGAGTTGCCTTGGGACTCACCTTGCACTGGGATTCCCAGTGCCATGTCACTACACCTAGCTGGTAAACTGGTGTCCCATCCCAGAAAGAAAAACAAACAAACAAAAAACCAAACAACAACAACAAACCACAAAAACCCAAGCAATACAAGAAGTTTTCCTCAAGTCTCCTGAGATACAACAGGCATGGGCCAGGGGGAAATGACACTCAAGGTACTCGGTTGTACAGCTGATAGGGCACTGACCCAATGTATGTCAGACCCAAGCTTATATCCATATTCTACCTAATTCAGAGCAGAGAAAATTTTGATCTCCTGCTACCCAGACAGATGTGCTAAGCTGACACGTGATGAAGAGAAGCCCAGCCTCCAGGCACTGAGTCACTTCCCAAAGTTTCATTAAAACCAACTCTTTTTCTCACAGACAGTTGAATATTATTAATGGGCCAGTCCCTCCCCTTCCCAGCCCCCAAAAGAAAAATCCAGGTGATTTGGCTCCAGATAGCTCTAAGGCAGAAGAAGCTTCCTGCCTTAAAGAATTTGCAAATAATACACAAATGAATTAAGTTGCAATACTGACGTGCTGTTTGCAAAACAGGGTCACAACTACGCTCGAAAACTACACTGGTGGAAGAAAACGATGACTATCATTTAACTACACAGCAGTAATATTTTAGAAGTAGAGTATCTGCCCTCTCACAAGTCATAACTAGCATCGCCAATTCCAGTCCTGTTCAACAGTGGTTTCCACTACAGGCAACACATCTGGCCGCATTCTCTTTGTTCCAAGCTGCTTCCAAGTCTTCCAGGTTCTCCCTTCCCGCAAGCAGCTTACCAGGGAAGTTTTGGAGCCATTGCTTCAGGGTATCAAATAACAAAATTGTGTGTCTGCTCTCTTCTTAAGTCCCCTAAACCATGTGCCACATCTGTTCCATGTCTCCTCTCTTTGACTCAATAGCTTCTCTCTTCTCCGGAGCTCACCTTCTCATCCCCGTTTTCTGGTCTACTTGCCCCACCATGTTGTGGTGCCAATTTTAAATCACTTTTCCATCTTCCCTTCAATCCCTGTCATATCCTAGTCAGCCTAATGCTGCTAGTTCTTATCCAGTGGAGCTTTCCCTTTGGTTTTTACTGCAGACCTGTTTTTGCTTATTTTTAATATAAAAATTAGAACATGAATGTGTAAATAGGTTACCTCAGGAAAACAGAGAAAAAAAAAAACATGGCAAAAAAAATTCTTGGTATTGTTATGGTTTTCTGCCATGCTACTGTTAAGAAGCTTTTAAATAAGACAAAAAAAGCGATGTTTTAAATGACAAAGGTGGCAAGGGAGCAGCAGGAGCACTTCATATTTTAGGTCATCCAGGAGTTCTGCATTAGACCTCTGATTTAGTCATGAGCTCTGGCACAAACACTTTTGACCTCACTGGGGAATAGGTCGAAACTAAAACACTGCAAGATCTACACATTTTTGAGTCATGTGTTTCAAATGGAACATTCCTGCCTGTTAAATTTGAAGGTCATTAACGAACAGCCCAAACAAGGGAAACCAATATGAGCAGCACCCCAAGCAATCACATGCATATAATTGCATCTACATTGCACAGTATTTCGACACAATATTCCACTTGCGTTACACTGTCATGTGCAGAACTGCATGACAGCTTTTCTGCTGTCACAGGAGGCAGAATAACACCGAGAGCTGTGTGTCTGATATGGAGGAAGACCGTGGATGGGAAGTTGCATTCCTGTTTGGCCAGAAAACCACTTGCAGTGTAAGAGCATCTTTCCGAATGGCTTTAATTTGCACGTTCAAGATGCTTCTCAAGATATTTTCAATTTTTAGTATCTGATTCAGTGTGGTACAGCCCTTCAGAGGAACAAATGCATCCTCTAAAAGCAATCTGTGCCTCTGGCATAGGCACACAAGAAAGGCTAATACATCCCCCACTATCAACCACAAGGCACAATCCATTTTGTCTCAGAGGGAGGGTTTTATTAGCCAACGTGTGCAAACCAGTCAGCCAACTCTGTTACTGTTTTTTATTTCCAGGGGGCATACAAAACTGCTACCTATCTGCTTGCACTACACTGAGAGGTGATAAAATTAACCATTTCAGCACTGGTGAGGCTGCATCTTGAGTATTGTGTTCAGTTTTGGGCGCCTCAGTATAGGAGAGATATCGAGGTGCTGGAGCGAGTGCAGAGGAGGGCAACAAAGCTGGTGAAGGGCCTGGAGAACAGACCTTATGAGGAGCCATTGAGGGAGCTGGGTCTGTTCAGTTTGATGAAGAGGAGGCTGAGGGGGGATCTCATCATGCTCTACAGTTACTTGAAAGGACATTGTAGAGAGGTTGGTGCTGGTCTCTTCTCACAGGGAATTAGGGACAGAACCAGGGGGAATGGTTGCAAGTTGCAACAGGGCAAGTTTAGGCTGGACATTAGGAAGAAATTCTTCACAGAAAGAGTGGTCAGACCCTGGAACAGACTGCCTAGGGAGGGGGTTGAGTCGCCATCCCTGGATGTGTTCAAGTGTCATTTAGATGTGGTGTTGGGTGATGTGGTTTAGGGGTGAACTTGTAGTGTAGGGTCAATGGTTGGACTCGATGATCCCAAGGGTCTTTTCCAACCTGAATTGTTCTATGATTCTATAACCAGCCACAAATGTGGCTTTTAAAAATGTTTATCCACCTAGCTCAAATACTGTCAGACGACTAGCCTCTCCTTCAAACAGGAAGATCAGCAATAGCTTTGGGAAGGAGGATACTAAATTAAGAGGAATAAAATGCAGATGGCTTTACCCACTCACCTGAGCATCTATTTTAATTAGTGCAATGTCAGCTTTTTCATCGACATCTTTAATTTTAGCTTCATACGTTTCACCGTTCTTCAGCTCCACCTTCACCCGGTTTTTGTTGGTGACGACGTGGGCGTTTGTCACTATCAGCCCATCTTCAGAGACGATGAACCCTGAACCACTGGCAACAGGAATCTCTCTCTTCGAATAAGGAAGTCTAAAAGACACAGGAAATAAACATTTATCACCGCAAGAAGTCGAGAGATCACCAAGCACTCACAACAACGCACAGCCAAAGAGGGTTTGGTGGGTTGTCATGCTTTAGGATATCTGTTGTCACTTAATACCATTGACAAGATAATGCATGTGCGTTAGGTTTTTTGGCCAGACCTCTTAAATTATCTTTAATTCTTAAGCATGACAAACGCTTACCACCTCAGAAAACCTCTTTGCTATTACATGGCATCAATCAACATTTCTGGCGCACTGGCAGGTGGTTTCAAGAATACAAAAAATCAAAACTAGACATCTTGTTTACTTGCGAAATAATTCAATGTGAACCACAGCAGGAGCTATCTTCTCCACCACATCTGCAATAAAGTTGTATTTGTGCCGCAGGCTATTAGGATGTTCTTGGCCTGGAATAGAAACAGAAAACACGCCGTGAGTTCTTCAAGTGACAGGAGAAAGGTCATGGCAAAACACCTGAATTCAAAAAAAAGCACCAAGTGGATGTCTTTCCCTTCCTTAAAATTGATCTGCAGCATAACCCCTGCCCCCAGATTTCCCTTCTGCAGGATGCTTTATCGTCAGGACAAACGGACACCTCTGTGTTTCAAGCGCACGCAACCGGGCCATGGGGCAGCAGATCTGCTGTGAAAGGGATTTTGTACTCAAACGCCTCCATTTCTGCCCTCACCTCTTTTCTGGATGGTCTGTTTAGCCCGTATGGTCCTAGACGAAAACAAACGGGCTCTGTTCCTCTGCCAAAACACGCCGGCTTAGTGGTTTTTGAAGTCTCACGCTGCTGCGTCTGTAAAATGCCGAGGACAGCGAGGTCCTAAGCCCAGTGCAAGCCCACAGCAGTGGCTGCAAAGTTCAAACTCAGGTCCGAGGTTTGTGCTGCCTCTCTCACCGGTGTCCCCACAGAGCTTGAGCCACCACCAGCCTCTGCCTGGCACCTAAATGTGGATGCCACTGCCCGTGCTCTGCACAGCCATGCTCAGGGCATCCTTTCCCATCGCCACTGCCGGTGGCCGATCAGCTCCACAGAGGAGTGAGGGGATCCCATGTGGTTCAGACTTACAGAAACACCCTCTGAAGGCTACAAAATCGATACCGCACACGAAAACAATGGGGCCACAAAGCTCCGCATTCCCGGGCAGTGCTGTAACACAAGAGCTCGTGGTCACCGAGTATTCAAGAGAGGTCAGTGGGATTTTCAAAAGCAACTGGATACCAAATCCCTATTGTGGCCATCAGAAATCCTGTCTGCACCATCAGATGTCTAAAAATTTCTGGAAAAAAAAACGTTCACAATTCTGACACGGTTTCCCCTTCTCTAGTAGTTTGGGGGGCAATTTAATTTTATTTTTTTTAAATTGGAGCAACTAAGCAATTGGAACACCCCAGAGATTTATTTTGCGCTTCTCTAGAGGCAAGAAACACCCTTTATTTTTATTAATCTTCCCATTTTATCTGAGGCATCCATCTCGCGTTATAAAGCCACAGGCCAAATCTGCAACTGGCTCTCAGATGAGTACTAATGTGCTGTGCTGCTCCGAGCCATCCTCGCCATTTGGCTTCTAAATCCATCCAGAGATTAAAGCAGTAAGCAGCTTGGGGATGCTGCAAGCACCTGTCATGGTGTAACAGGGCGATTTATTTGCAGAATTGTGGAAGGAGACACGGGACTATCCTATAAAATTGTCCCAACGCCGATACCTGAACGAGCTTCACTATGTGCAAACCAGACTGGAAAGCTATGAAAATTTTTAAGTACATACTGGAGGCAAAACCCCACGGCAGGAGATTCAGAGGAATGATTTAGAAATAAAACATTGCTGCTTTTGATACTAACCAGACACTGGTTTGATTCAAGGGTGAACGACAGGTTTCAGGTGACTTATGCCAGCTAGAATAAATACTCTGCCCTCACAAGAGGGGTGGATGCTCAACCCAAACACCATCTGAACACGGAATAACACATTTTTTTCCCCATTTTTACCCCATGAAGGGGGTCAAATGCGATCAGTCACGAACAGCAGCTGCAGCAGTAACCACATAATCCGCTGCACAGTTTCAGATCACAGGTCAGAGATGTTTATCTGCTTTATGAAGCAGGATCGTTGATCAGGAAACCTGTGTCTTCACCCATCCTGTTCCTCAAAAGTACTCTGTGCTTTCTCCCATTTACACAAGTCCTTGCACTTTTATGCCAGAAAGGTATAATAGCTTGCTGATTGACAGACATCAATTTAGCGAAGGATTTATGCTCTCTTCATTAGAAATATTCAGTATTAAACAAACACTGTCATCACTATGAAGCTGACAACTATAATGGGAGTATTTTGGAAAGCTGGTAGGAGAGTGAGAAGAGCAGTTTGGAATTATTCACTCGCATTAAATAGGAGCTTTGACAGATTATCAAATTAGATTAACACGACGTTGGGATAAAACGCCACAGGGCACTGCTGTATCCATCAATATCCTTTTTGATCAATGCTTATAAAATGATTTCACCTCAGTTACAATGCTGCAGACGTTCAAAGGTCACATCCTGCCCTTGGGGAAAAAAAAAAAAGAGAGCTCCCACGGATGAGGGAACAGCACAGGGAACACAAGGCTTTTTTAGGGCTTCAATCTTTTTTTTTGCATTTAGCTATTCAAGAAGAGAAAGGATGCTTAAGCTGGACATGGTGGGACTACTAATACCTCTTCTCAGAGAGCTGCCCTCACTTTGAGTCAGAGGCTACAAACGCCAAGATTTCAGAAGGGACAGTATATTGTGCAAAATCCGCCTCCTTGCACTGTCCCAAACTAAGCTGCACAGTTAAAAGGTCAAATTTTGTACTCTGAAACAAAGTTAGATAATAAATACTGATTTATGGCATACTGACCTAAAAAGCTTACAACTGCTTGCCACGCCTGCCTATTGCTTATGTATCAGGAATTCTTGCATTGTGTAACACAAGTTTTGCAACAGCTCTTGAACAACTGCCCGTTTAAATGGGAAACATACCTTTTTAAAGCAAACAAACAAAAAAAGTCAAAGTGCCATTCGGATGAATCCATTGATGACTGCTAACAAAAAAAAAAATTCCTGGCAACTGGTCTTTAACAACATCTAAAATCTGAAGGCTGCAGTAAAAGTATTGATCTGTTGAAAATTTCTTCTATCTCTGAGAAAAAGTACCATGAGAGAGAAAAAAACGAAACCAAAACGGACACATGTGCATGCACACCATTTGTCCACAACGTGCACATGTAATGCTCATCACAGCTAATTGCTCTTTGGGATTAGAGAGCAACGCACGTGGGAGCCCAGAGGTGCACTTATCCTTCCTATAAGCAACCACCACCGTGTCAAATCTTAGCTTAGATTTGAATCACCAGGAGGCACAGGTTGCTATGGGGAAGCCTAAATTACCACAGAAAAAGCCAATATGAGCAGGTGCTCATTCCTCAAGCACCATGTGGTGGTTTCCAGCCACTGCAGAAGGCAGGGCAGGAATGCAGAGCTTCTCAGGAGATACTTTCCTCTTCTCTCTAACATCTGTACCTTCTTTCCAGCTGTGCTGATAGTTCAGGGTCTCAGTAGAAAATTTAAGGCCTTAAGAGTAGAATGGGTATCACGCAACATCCTCAGGTTTAAAGAGCTGGAGATTCTGCCAGAGGTTTACTGGACTGTGCTTGACTATTAAGCAACAAAAAGGCAGTATCCTAAAGTTTTGCTTGATGATATGACTTCGACTGTTTAATCCCCACTGCCTGTGTATTCCCATACATCCATCTATCCACAACATCCAGCCTTACTAATAGATAGTCCACAAGGGGGTGGCCAGCTCTCGAACTCCATGCTTAAATTGTTCCCCAAAAATCTAGTTTCCTCAAGTTTAAAACTGCTTCTTCAGCAAAACCAGTGTTGAATTTGTGAGAATAAACTTTCCCCAATTTTCGGGTCTTTTTCTTTAAACCACATCCTTCTGGAGTTTTGCTCTTAGTAGTCTTTTCATTATTTCTTCTATTTTGTGACTGGGGTTGGGTTTTTTTTTTCCTTGCCTGTTTGTTATTTTTTGTTGTTTGGGTTTGTCGGTTTGTTTGGGTTTTTTAAATCATTGAGAGGTGGGCTTGAAAAAAGCTCTAGTTCCTAAATACCTTCAGACTTTGATGTCCAGATCTTTGCAGACTGTTCCTCCTTCTATTTATATGTTGCGATTATTGTGTTTTGTAATGTTTTTATTGAACTATTGCACAATGCCCTAAATGCCCACGAGCATGGTTAAGAAACCTTTAGTAATGACATTATAAAGCTGGTTGTTGTGAAGTCAGTTAATGATCAAAAACTGACTTAAAAACAACATAAATAGGTTACAGCATGAAAAATTCCCAAGGCAACTAATTCTTCAAGGACTTCAAAGGTGTGCTGGCTGTCAGCCCTCGAACGAAAAGCAAAATGCCTGCCAACTGACATTATTAGGCCTAATATCAGTAAACAAGCTGCTAGTAGGCAAGGCAGAATACCAAGCCATGCAAAAAAAAAGCACACCCGGCTGTAAACAACTGAAATAATTTGGTTTCATAAACACAAGCCAAAAAAACATATTGAGATCTAGGCTCTGATTAGGTCATTACTCAAAGTGGCACTGATGCTTTAATGCTTACAACTCATACACGCTGCTTTTTGAGCTAAAGCAAAAATATGCTTTTGGAGATAGAAATCTCATAAAAATAACCTCTGGCCTTCACTTGTGAGAACTGTCTTCTGTTCTGGAAGGTTTTCTCTCAGCATAAGTCCACCTCTCATAAGAACAGATCTTTACACAAAGCTGTCTGTAGGCACATCTTGCCCAGAAATGGATTTTTTTTTCCCCCCATCCAGTTATGAAAGGGTTTCCCCCTTTCAGACGAGGGCGTTCTGCTTTTACCCATCTGGAGCAGCTCAACTCACTGCAAATTCTCCTCTGCTTCCCAACGGGGCCACCCTATGTTAAGGCATCCCCAACATTCCCACGTCTCCTTTCCACTGTCTGGAGTTAGAATCTACACGATTATCTAATTAAGTAGGATTTTTTTTTATCTTATATAAGGGAAGGGGGGAAAAAAACCACAACACGCTCCAGCAAGCCTCTCCCTCCCACCTTCACATAGCGTGACCACACCAGATATCCTCATGTCCTAAGTCAAAAAGCTTAACTTTCATTCCCATTAAGACTAAAACAAACAACAGCTTCTCATGAAACAGAAATCATCCAAGACAGTTGCACCTATCGGTATCTCTAATTTTCTCACTGTTAAAGAGGACGCTCATATGCAAACTGCAGGGAGGGTGGAGAACCATCTCCACATTCATAGACTCATAGACTGGCCTAGGCTGGAAGGGACCTTAGAGATCATTTAATCCAACCTCCCTCCCTGT